ATACAAAGATAATTTAAGGCAGAAATGCTTAAATACATGTATGAACTGTATTTCGTTTTCTTAATCTAACATTAATATATTCATCTGATCATAAATTGTTGATAGGGGTTTTTCAAATCGGTCCAAAGGACCTTCTGTGTATCTTTTTTGGACCTTGTGTGTATCGGGAAAATAGAAAGTTTAGGCCCGATATACTCAAAGAGAACCGTACAATAAGATAAACAAAATTTTAATAGAAGGGGTTTTAACTCAATTGGGCCTAAAAGCCTATTTTTTAGAATTACAAATTTACAAAGCTTATACAATCATTAGCATTAAAACGCCACCGTTTGGCTATATATCTAACTTGGCGTGAGAACATGCGCCAAGTTGAAGCGCGTGATATGAACAAGTAAGTAAAATTGAGATGGGGCCATCACACGATTCACGAACTTAGCGTAGCAACCAAAAGGTGCAATAAATAAAAATAAATGATGGTTGTTTTAGGTCATACACCGACAGCTTCAATTCAAGCCACGTGTTTTTTTCCATTTTCCTCGGCTTCTCACATGTCTTTTTTTTTGTTTTTTGTGTTGTGGTTGGTTTTGTTCATTTCACTTTCAATAAGTAATTAAGTATCACCACATCATCATCAACTATAGAGGATGACTAATTAACTATCTTCTTAAGGCTTAAGCTCACCGGTTGCCTTAGTCTTCTCGTATTAAAACTTTAAAACTCCAAGGAAACTTCAACGACCTTCACTTTCACTCTACCTTTTACTATTTTAATAATCAATATAAAGAAATATTTTATTATGATTCTTGTTATAGACTTCACTTTTTATATTCTGTTCAATTTGCAGTTGTAAAATTACCATACACAACAAGGTTCATACTCTTTTATGGTTTTACTATGAAATTCATTGCAAATCATTTTATACTTGAGTGTGGAATTATTTAATGCTTTAAATTATGATGATTATTCGTTGATCGTGCATGGCCATTTTAATACCTGAACTAGGGATGAAATTCAATAGTCATTCACTCGCATAGGCCGTAGAATTAATCTGAATGGTTTGCAGAACTTGTCTTTTGTTCTGAGTTAGAAAATATTATATCAATAAAAAAAAACTTTGTTAATAAAGACGAAAAGAAAGTGGTGCTTATTCAATGATTATACAAAAGATTTAGCCGGAAAAAAAGAATATAAAAAGGTTGATTGAAAGGTAATGGAACCCGAGCTGAGCCGAGCCGAATAATAAAGAAAGCCAAAGTCAGCTAAATTAATTAAAATTTTCAGACACCGCGTGGTCCCCACCACCAGCCTGTCCGAAAACCCAAACCTGCTTTGATACACAACACAGACCAGAGACCAGCGAAACTCACATATCTCTCTTTCTTCTTCTTGTCTGTCTCTCACTCCCAACTTTCCAAGCGCCGACGATTCAAGAAATCAGAGAAAACGAAGTTAATTCTCCATAACAGAAATACATTTCCTTTCTAATTTCAGCCTCGAGAGAAAATCCCAATCTTCCAGAGCACCATGGATCGCTGTATCTATGGTTGCTCCGCCGTAATTTACTTCTTCTTCCTCCTCACTGCATCCGCTTTGCCACGTAATGTCGAACCGGGTCACCACAACATAACCGGGTCAGGTCAAATAAACTCAAACTCTGTCCTTGTTGCTCTCCTCGACTCTCGTTACACTGAGCTCGCTGAGCTCGTCGAGAAAGCTCTCCTCCTCCAAACACTCGAAGACGCCGTCGGTCGTCACAATATTACCATTTTTGCCCCTCGCAATGAAGCTCTGGAGCGTGACCTTGACCCCGATTTCAAACGGTTCTTGCTCCAACCAGGTAACCTCAAATCTCTGCAGACGCTACTCTTGTCCCACATTATCCCCAATCGGGTCGGGTCAAACCAGTGGCCCGAAGAGAACTCAGGTCGGGTCAAACACGCCACGCTAGGGCACGACCAAGTGCTGCATTTGAGCAAAATCAAAGGAAACGGAAAGAGATTGGTGAATTCCGCCGTAATTACCCGACCCGATGATTTGACCCGACCCGACGGATTGATCCACGGAATCGAACGGCTTTTGATCCCTCGCTCCGTCCAAGAAGATTTCAACCGACGGAGAAACCTCCGATCAATCTCCGCCGTGTTACCCGAAGGAGCTCCGGAAATCGACCCGAGAACGAACCGTCTCAAGAAATCCGCCGCCGCTGCCGTCGCAGTACCCGCCGGATCTCCACCGATTCTCCCGATCCAATCCGCCATGGCTCCAGGTCCATCGCTAGCGCCAGCACCGGCTCCTGGACCAGGAGGTCAACGCCACCACTTCAACGGCGATGCTCAGGTCAAAGATTTCATCCACACATTGTTACATTACGGGGGATACAACGAAATGGCGGACATACTCGTGAATCTGACGTCACTCGCGACGGAGATGGGTCGATTGGTGTCGGAAGGTTACGTCCTCACCGTGTTAGCTCCGAACGACGAAGCTATGGCGAAATTGACGACGGATCAGCTTAGTGAGCCCGGAGCTCCAGAGCAAATTATGTATTACCACATTATACCGGAGTATCAGACGGAGGAGAGTATGTATAACTCGGTTAGGAGATTCGGGAAGGTGAAGTATGAAACGCTGCGTTTTCCTCATAAGGTCGAGGCTAAGGAAGCTGATGGTTCGGTTAAGTTCGGTTCCGGTGACCGGTCTGCTTACTTGTTTGATCCGGATATTTACACGGACGGTCGAATTTCGGTTCAGGGGATTGATGGTGTGTTGTTCCCTGAGGAGAAAGAAGAGACGGTTAAACAATCGAGAAGTTCGGTTAAGAAAGTTGTTCAGCAAAGAAGAGGTATGTTTAATCAATCTTTTGCTTGATTGAATATGTGTTGGTGAATCAGTTTCGCATAGTTATGATAATTCAACATTAGTTAGTAGTGAAATGATCTAATTTAGCTTTATGGAGTTTCTTATAACATTAGCATTGTGACAAATTATGCTTGAAAGTGTGTCATGTTAAAGTACATTTTACGTCCCTAATTTCAATTGGAAATGAAACAAGACAAATACATGAAGATGATTAACGCTTAAGGTTGTAATCATGTGCTCTAAAAGTAAAGATTGGTAAGGATATTGGAAGATATCAAACAGAAGAAAGAGTCATTAGAAGCTTCTTCACATTACCTAAAGCATCTTCTCACGTTTCAAAGCTTTCACTTAATATATTTGTTGAATTATTGGGATTTAGCTTTTTCTAAAGTCTTAATATAATAAATATTTTAATTAGGTGACAGGAGATTGTGATTGTGATTGGAATCAATTGATTGTGATTATGACCTAATAACTAAAAGCCTTTATTTTAATTAATCAACAGGGAAGTTGCTGGAAGTAGCATGTAGAATGCTTGGAGCTATTGGCAAGGACACATATCTTGGCAAATGCTGATAAATTCGCAACAACGAAGAGATTATTTAAGACAAATCTCTGAAGTGTATCTGTAAAACACATACAAAAGGTAATAGCTTCTTGCCCATTTGATTAGTTTTAATGATATATAAAAATATATATGGGTGTTCATAGTTGTCGCAATTTTGCAGGTTCTTAGGAGAAGGATGAAGATTGGAAAGAAGAGAAAAAACCCAAAAAAACAAGAGAGGAACATCAATCTTTAAATCATTCTTCAATGTGGAATATGAAAAGAGGGTTTGTTGAGTTTTTTTATATGTTAAAAAAAATTATTTTTTGGGGGAGGGTTTGATTTTGGGGTTATAAAAATTGTAATTAGATATATGAACTCAATTTTTTTAATTTGATTTGGTGTATGAAAAAATGAATCAGAAAGTGGGAAATAAAAGAAAATAAGACTTGAGAACCCCCACTACGTATTCTTCACTCGTAAGGATCTCTTCTTTTCTTTTATTTGTGGATTGTTTGGTAGGTTATTCCCACTTGAATGGTAATCATTATCATCATCACTATATCATTAGATAAAGAAATTTGGTGGTGCCAACAAAAATATAATGTATGCATAAATTTATAATTATGAATTAGCTATTTGAATTACACGAGCAAGTTTTACTAAATTTGGTGTTATGAGTAATTTGCTTAACATTCTGTGGCAACTGGCAAGTTATATCAATTATATTAAATAGTGAAAGCTACGACTTTTTTTTATTTGTTAACAAACACAAATTAGTTATGAAAGGTATTTGGTAAGGAACGATGATGAAACATGTGTTGGAGAGAAAGGATGAGTTGGCTTAAGGCTGTCTTGTGAAGATATTATTATGATTTGAGACTCAAATTACAATACAAAGCTTATAGCTGTCTGACTTTTTGTATGTGATTCATCACAATCCAAAATACATATTTTGTTTTTCAATCGGTGACTTTTTGTTCCCTTCAGTCTTAGTATACAGCTGCAACTCTAAACAAAGTTATCGATCAACATTATTCCATTTCAACCACTTAGAAAACAATTTGTTTTCTGGTAGAACTATATTGAATCATTGATAGATATAATTTATTTGTAAATGAATAAAAGAACAACCAATGCGCACTTTAAACGCATCAAAATATAGTGGAGCGGACAAGATTTGTTTTTTCCATTATTTGTTCCGAGGCAAATACATTCCTTTATATATTATTATTTTCTCCTGACTAACTAAAAACGCACCGCACTTGTTAATAATAATAGTGTTGAATAATGATGACAAAGGTAAAGAGCCCACAATAACACACTCGAAGAAACGACATGCCCCTTGTATTCATACCCTAAGTTTCCTTTCTGTATTTTTATACTGATGAGCTCATTTAAACACACCGATTGATTAAAACAAAAAGATTATAAAGCAATAAACAATTTCCAAAAAGTCTCATCGAGATTTTTGATAATAACAAGTTTTGTTTGTAAAAATTAATTTCAGAACAGGTTCTTGGATAATAGCAATTTGACTTCAAAAGTTTAGTTTGGCAAAAGAGAAGAAAATGAGAACTGTGCTCTACTCTCCTTAGTTCTCTGCTTGCAAAGGAGCTGCAAAAAACAAAACAAAAACTCCATAAAAATTGCGATCCACTGTGAAAAGTTACCGAGGATAATTACTAAGTTACCAGTTAGATCGTACCTTTCACGGCTGCTGGCTCGTCCTGAGGCCTCATTGCCGGGAAAAATATAACCTCCTGCAACAGTAATTCAAATCATGAGTTTAAACAAAAAACAAGATTCAAGTAATTCACAGAGATACATTTTTGAGGCAAGAGAGTAGTAGTGACCTTGATGTTCTGTGAATCAGTTAAGAGCATAGCAAGTCTGTCTATTCCCAGTCCCCAACCACCTGTAGGAGGCAATCCATATTCTAAAGCATTACAGAAAGTCTCATCTAAAGCCATTGCTTCATCGTCTCCAGATTGTCTATCCTTGAGCTGATCAGCAAAACGCTGGCGCTGAACCACAGGATCGTTCAACTCCGTGTAGGCGTTGCAGAGCTGCGGTCAAAGTTATAACATGTTATAAGCCAAACAACTCTAAAGAAAGGATGTGTGATGGAATCAAATTCATCAGATTACTTACTTCATGTTGGTTGATAAACAGCTCGAATCTCTCAGTCAAACCACTGCTTGATCTATGCCATTTTGCTAAGGGACTCATGATCTCGGGATGGTTGATGATGAAAGTTGGGTTCACACATGTGACTTCCAGAAATTCTCCAACAAGCTGCCAAAAATAGCGATAGCAATTTCAATATTAAAATTTCATATCCAAGATGTCCCAGACAGGCATGCAAGGAAGGAGAGACGGAAGATTTTACTTTATCTAGCAGACGAGCTGTTGTCTGAGGAGGAGGGCATTTCACATCAAATCTCGCACATGCATCAATCAGATACTTGTTAGCTTCTTCGCCAGCCAAGTCTTTTGGTATGTTGAGGTTAGCCACCTTCTCTAACTCTCCTATCATCTCGATCCTCCTACAAAAACACAAGATTTAAGTAGATTATTACCAAAGATAGGCTCCTGCGGAAAGTTGTTGTTTAATTAATGAAGGTATTGCCTCAAACCTGAATGGAGGGGTGAAGTCGATTTCGATTGGATCCTTATCATACCCATTGGCATGATACTTGATTTTGTAACCACCTGTTAGTTCCTTGACCATGCCACTCAACATATCCTCAGTCATTGTCATCAGGTCGTTGTAGTCTGCAAAGGCCATATAGAACTCGCAAGTGGTGAACTCTGGATTGTGGGTCAGGTCAATACCCTCGTTTCTGAATTGCTTTCCTATCTCATAAACACGCTCGTAGCCACCAACTATAAGTTGCTTGAGATAGAGTTCAGGAGCGATACGCATGTACAGCCTCATATCTAGATCATTGTGATGTGTCACAAACGGCCGGGCAGCTGCTCCACCAGGAATCATGTTCATCATAGGCGTCTCAACCTAACAAAAATTCAAGAAAAGAAAACTTGAACCAGATCTAGAATGCAAAGAAGGAAAATATATATTTGTAAGAAAAACCAGAAACATAGAAACCTCCAAGAATTTTTTATTGTCAAGGAATCTGCGGATGTAGGAAGTGATACTAGCTCTTGTTTTGAATATCTGGCGAGCCTCCACGTTCAACATTAGATCAAGATGACGGAAGCGATATCGAGATTCCTGAAAGAGAGCAAAACAAAAGGTGACATATACAATAGAACCTTAATCACGGAAATTAAGTGAACATAACCAAAAATACTGACATTTAGTAATGTATGAGGCTACAATTATCTTTATAGCCTTTGAAAAACTGATGTTACCTGATCTTTCAGAACATATGTTTCAGGATTTCTCGGTTGACCTGGAATCCAGTTTTCAGGTTTCTACACCATAAAATGGTGAAACAGGTTAGTGTATAACAACTAACAAGGTGACTATAAAGGTATTATAACAGCCACAGTGAATCTGCTTTACCTTTGAATTAACATTGTCAGCCTTTCTCGGCATCATGTGGAGGCAGTGAGACAGAAGAATAAACGATCGGGGGAAGATACTCAACTCTCCCCTCTTAGTTTTTCCTGAAATTATTATAATGTGAACAGTGAAAAAGGACGACGAGGTATACTACAAGAATGTATAATACAAAAAAAATAACAGAGGTTGCACAAACCTGGAAACCCAGTGACACCAACAATATCACCACGCTTAACATTCGAATGGAGCTTTGAAAACCCAGCTTCATCCAATCCTGACTTACTGAGATAAGAAAAACGCAATATACCCTAAGTAACTCTATTCAAGAGCAGTTTTAAAAGTTAATAAAACAAGTAAACCCAGTAAACAAAGCATTCACCTTGCATCAGCCATAACTTGGACCTTGAAATCCTCACCGTGAAGATCATAGAAGAAGAGCTTGGAAGAGGAAGATCGCTTGCTCATTATCCGCCCTAGCAAAGTTTAGAAAAATGAATGAGCATCCTATAAAGTGTAAACGGGCAAGTGGCTAGTCAACATTAGACAAATGGCATTTAGCGAGTTTAACATACCAGCAAGAGAAACTTCAGCGTCTTCAACATGATCCCCATTGTTCAAAGTACCATACTTTTCAATGTATTCAGGAATAGACATTGACACATGAAACTTGTGAGGATATGGATTCTCCCCTTTAGCCTTCTCGACCGCAAGATATTTCAATCTGTTCTCAAAGTATTGCTACAAGAGTTAACAGAAAAAAAAAAAAAAGCACTTAGATTCATACATACACTTATAGCTGCATTGCATTAGATAAAGGAGAAGAATTATCGAAGGGATTTATATACCGTAGGATCCATATCCTCATCATCTGCTGCCACCGACTTCTGGCTCTGGGAGCTTGCCTTGGGAGCCTGCATGAATCGAATGAAATTTCTTCATAAATTTCTCTTGGGGGATCAAATCATATGCAAGCAAGTGCCCAAACAAATTCGCAAACTATGAGATTATATTCAAAGAGAGAACTGCTCACTTGTTTAGCCTTTTCTTCTTCCTTGCGTTTCCTCTCTTCCTCTTTCTGCTTCAGCTTCAGTTCCTTCTTCAGAGCACTGAAGTATTTTCACGAAAATACCATCGCCACGATTAAATTCCATACGAAGATATACAAAAATCGAGGTTAAAAGGAATCAAGAGAAAACGTACTTTTTACTCAGAGGTACAGCTCCATCACAGGCACCAGTCTCAGCAGTCGAAGAGGAGGTAGCAGAGTCCATGGATAATTCAGAAATCGCTTGCGTAGCTTGATCAGCCATCTAAATCAGCTTCCTGCTTCAAAAATCCAGAAGAAGAAACGGTTTTTCCTCAGTGAAACCAGATTTGGTTCAAGTTCTTACGAAATATAAGAGTAAAACCTACGAAGGTATCAGATATAAGCAAATTCGCAACGAAAAAATCCTACCCTCGGTGAAGAAGTAGAAGAAGCAGACGACGGCGAAGAAGATGAAAATGTGGAGAGTGAGTCTTCTTTAGGGTTTATTCCTTTTTTTTTTTACGCGGGTCCAAGCCCATTAGTCACATTACTTAATGAATTTCTTCGCTTCTGTTGGTTTTACGCACAAACCGAACCGGTTCGTTCAAAAGTAACGGTTTTGAGACTTTTATCATTTATTATACATCCCTATATTTGTTGAAACACTTGTTGCAAATCTTACACAATCCAAAAGTGAAGTAAAAAAAAAACAATGGATGTTTCCTTGAATATAATGTAGTAATCCGCTATAAAACTCTTTGCAGCTTCAAAAACACAATCTCAAGACCTTCTTATCCATGACCACCTGATTCCGAAGCAGCTCTGTTTACGTTTTCTCTGCATAAACGAGCTCTTGCCTCCTACTAAACCGCTCGGTTTATCGTCGCTGCTCTCTGTTGTTTGGCTGAAAAGAGTTGTGGCTTGCGAGATTGTTATCCTTGTGACCTCATCAACAGAGTTTGTCGAAAGATCGATCTCCGGTGATGCAGGAGCTATTTTGTTGCCTTCTCTTGCAAAAGAACTCGATCCACTTCTCCTACAAGCAACTCCAAAAATGTTAAAGTCATTGTTAATTTAACCGCAAGGGAACGGCTTTCTTGAGGTTCTTCAGTTTTACCTATTGTTGCTGTTGTTGTTAGTGTGATAATGTGTGAAGGATGCTTCACCAAGAAGTTCAATTTTAGGATCTTGAATACAAACTTTGCTACTTGAAACAATCGCAGTGCTCTCTAAATGCTGTTTTGGTGATGATGATAATGATGCTTCTCCCTCCGAAGATGTTGATGTGTTGTTACCTGTTCTGGATTTTCTAACCATTGATATCACTCTCTCTAGTGTCCCTAAAGCTTGCTTCACCTCTGGACTTATGCAGAAAAGTGTTTTACCATTCTTGTCAATGACATTTTCATCCTCTACCGAAGAAGAAGAAACACCACTTTTATCTTCTTCTTCATCGTCACATTCTTCTTCCTCAATCTCAGGAACATCTCTTTTGCAAGGTACAGATGCATTTTCGTGGGGTTCATCAGCTTCCAAATGTGGTTCTTTCTCTTCACAATCTCTTCCTTCTTGGCTATGGATCTCATTTGCTTGGCAGATTTCATCAGTGGAATACAGAGCTTGACGTATCAGAGTATACAACGGATCAGCTAAAACTCTGCTGTAATCATCTGATGTAGCCACCGAACCAATAGTCTGTAGAGACATTATCACAACAACATCCCATATACTTGTCTGATTTAGCAAACCAAAAACCAAGTTTTTATGAACTAAAAATAAACAGAAAAATCGACCTTCTTGAAAAGTCTGAAACCGTTGCCGAGGAGCTGCCTAGCCATAAAATTTATTAGAGATGGAGGGATCAAGTCCAGCTTTATATCGAACTCCGATATGAATCTACAAAAATTTGAAACAAAAAAGAACCAAAGACATTTGAAGTTTCTGGTTAATATAATGTTTTTTTTGGACAAAATGTTGTTAATCACTCAAACTCACCTCATGTAACTCCTCTCTGGAGACACCTTCTGAATCGCAACTCCACCTACTAAATCAACCCTCACAGCTTCAGAGTTACCGTTCTTGTCGATGCTCTCTACTTGTGATGCTGAAACCTAAAGATGATACTAATAGATATTAGTTTAGGATGATAGCAAAATGACTAAGAACTTGATTAGGATGAAAATGAAAAATCTAACTTGGTATTACCGAATTTAGTAGGATGATGACTAAGCCGTCTTTAAAGTATTCGAATAAGAAAAACTGCACCATAGCTTCTCTGTCTGTCATTGGCCACGGTACTTTCATCCTTTCTTCCCGGAAAAATATTATCAAAAAATTTCAGATTTATAAGATTAGAAAAGGAGAAGACAAACAAACTTTGCAATGTGAGAAAACTGACCTCACTAAACATATCTGTTCATTGATCCGAAAATTTTGTAAGCATTTAGTTTGTAAGATCCTGAATGCTGGAAATGAAGACTTTGGCCACCTTGAGACATACAGAACCGTTAATTTCTAAATGTTAATAACCAAACAATCTGCAAAAAACAAAATGACAAACTCACCATTTCTCATATAGTGATGATTCCCATGATACAGATAAACCTGCATCAAACGCAGTTAGCATCAAATCGAGAACCTTTTTGTTTGTTTTTCTATTAGTCAAAAAAACTCTTAAAAAGAAAACTTACAGTCTTGGATAGGACCATCCATGTAACCTTCAACAAGCAGTGTGTGAAATGGACTTCCTTCAGGTCCTTCACGGTACATTACACGACAATCTTCATGATCATGTTTCACCTGTGATCATGTTTCATGTTTAACATTGTTTGTGACAATTCTTTTAGATAACAAAAGATGTCCAAATTGAACAAAAAGCAACATACTTTCCAATCACCATAAGATGCCTCGTTGCTTGATTTAGAAAGTTTTTGATCCTTTGTTGATACACTCCTAAGCTTGTCAAGTATACTAGATAAATCAGCTACTCTTTGATCCAACACATCCACATCACACTCTGTGTAAAACACATTAAAGCAAAGCAAAGAGTTAAAGCAGCTAAGAGAGTTTTCATTTCTATAAATAGCAACTCAACAACAAACACCTTATAAAAAAAAAAAAAAAACCTTCATTTAGCTGTTTTCTGAGTAGAGTTTTAAGAGTTTGCTCATTAGTGAGCTCAGGAGACGCCAAGGTCTTATCAAGTCTCTCTCTGTATTCACAAATCTCTCGTTTGTTCTGCATACTCGCATTTCAAATTATGATCCGTGTACAAACCTTTAGAAAACAAAGTTGATCCTCAAATCAGACAACAAAGAGAGTCAACTCCCAGAAGATTGACTGAAAACCCAGATTTTCTGCAATTCAGATTCGAATTCAATCGATCAAAGGTAAAAGAGAAGAAGAAAAAAAAAACAGAGAAAGTTGGATAAGAACAGACGAAAGAGGGAGAATCGGGAATCAACAACAACTTTCAGATCACGGAGCTTCGTTGGGGAAGAAGAAGAGAAAGCCTGAAACGTACGGCGATTATTTATAAGAAAGCATAAAGTTTTGAGTTTTGCCAGACAAAACCCAGCAAGCTGCTGATGCGTTACCTACGAGGCAGGCAAAGAACGTGGAGTTGTGTTGTCAATTAGTAGGGATACTTTCTCTCATTTTCTCGCGACAATACAAAAAAAAAAAAAAAACTGGGAAAGAGAAAAAGAAAAGTCTTTCATTCCCAAAAAGCTTAAAAGTTTACGTCCCATTCGAAACGGATTTGAGGTTTTTTGTTAGACTTTAGACTCTAGAGGACGAGGTCGGTTAAGTGTCGCTGTCTGTTGAATGAATCATTTTCTGTTTCGTTTTATTTTTAAATCGAAACAAAATACAAATATGATTTTCCGTTTCTATGCGACATATTTACCAATTGTATATAGTTTGATCTAATTCATCATTTTAGATTGTGTTAATTTGAAATATTTTGACTCATTTTATAGTCTTAATACGCTAATGTTTTTTTCCAATCGGATTTTGTGGGTAGATGCATGAATCCAAGTTTTTTTTAATCGATTCTATAAAAATAGAAACAATATGTAGAAATTGATTATATTTAGAAAGTGTGTGTATGTGTGTTCATGCATTCGGGGTCCTTTTGAAACCATGTGGTGTGTGAGTTTAGTTTTATGTAATCTAGAAATTGTGTTGAAGAATTTGAGTATGGTTCTCGGATCTCTCAACTATAAAATCTGGTCTCATCTTCATTCACATTCCTGACATCTTTACCTCTTCTCTCCTTCACATTCTTTAATTACATCTCTTCTCATTCTTTAATCATATTCTCTCGTAATAAAAAAGTAACAAATTTTCAGAATCATGTGTTCCAAACTCGAATTATAATATTAGACACCGATATTGCAACTAACACCATAAGCTTATTCGGAGATAGTGACATGAAATATTAAAAGTTACAGAGTTGTTTTAGACAGCCATTGGGGTTTCACAGCACATAGAAAAGGTCTCACATAGTTTTTGACAACACTTTTGCTTTAACTACTGACCGCAGCAACCGCCATTGTTCTGTTGGATTGGCTGGCCTTTCATTTGAACAGTTCCACTTCCCGATGTCTTGTTTGCATTCGGCTGGCTTCCCATTCTGCAAAAAAGTAAAACAGTAACAATATATGCTCAGCGATCAAACACATGAGAAGTCTATCATATGATATGATAACAAAAAGTCGAGTACACGAGCTTGAGGAGGAGGCTACAAGAGATTTTATACAGCAGTGAGTTTGTAGTTTCGCTTTCCATCAAGTCTCCAAAAACGCATATTTCAGATTTCATGAAGTGAAGCAGAAAAAAAAAAAAGAGTGCTTTGATGTATAATGGTGATCAAGGAGAATGTAATTTAGAACAGCTTTACTAGGGATTATAGAGTAAAATATTGCAGAAACTAGTATGACGAAAGATTAAAGGTAGTGAACATACTTCTTCTTGATCTCGCCGGCAATAGTTAAGAATGCCTGTTCCACGTTGATGGAATCCTTAGCACTGGTCTCAAGAAAGGGGATTCCGAGCTCATCTGCTAAAGCCTGTAGTGTTTTTTTTTAATAAATGAAAACGCACAATAAGCAACTCAAAGCTGTGAAAATTAGCAAATTTTAATGGCTGGAACCGGATCGTCTAACTTTTGGACTTTGGTCAATGATCTTATACATTCATAGCCTTCATTAGTGGTATAACTATCTCAATCATCGTACAAGATTACAGATTTGTTGCTACAATGATATGATCAAATGAAACAATACTTGTAACTCATCAAGATGCACATAGGAAATCAATTGTGGATGCAGAGATTACCTTTCCAGTTTCGGTGGAAACAACTTTACTTTCAACCATATCATTCTTGTTACCGATCAGAAGCTTGCATACACTTTCGTTAGCATATCTATCGATCTCACTCAACCACTGCTTCACGTTGTTGAAGCTTTCCATCTCAGTACAGTCATACACAATCTGTTGCAATATATCAATCATCAAGTCTCATCAGCTAAAAGGTAGGTTTGAGCATTAAGATTTGAAATAGTTTTCAGGGTACACAGAGCAGATCCACATAGATATTGCCTAAACCACTTAAAACAAGAAACAGAAACTGAGTAAAATAAGATATCTCACGATGATTCCATGAGCTCCTCTGTAGTAGCTGCTAGTGATGGTCCTGAAACGCTCCTGCCCAGCAGTATCCCACTGAAGAGAGCAGAATCAGTAAATGATTTTAACATATAATTATGCGAAATATATCATCAATAATGCCCTAATTGAATTGAAAGATCAAACTCACGATTTGAAGCTTAATCGTCTTCCCATCCAGCTCAATCGTCCTAATTTTCTGCCATTTCGAAGTAACATTATACATAACGTGTGATGATGAACAATCTAGGGTTATGTATGTATATAAAAAAATGGTGATAAGGAACTCACGAAGTCAACACCAATGGTGCTTATGTAGCTGTCAATGTAAGCATCGTCCTGTAAAAGAGAACAAATCCAATCGAACCTAAGAGGAGTTGAGGTTGAGATTATAATCGACAAACACAAAGGAGGATCAAAACAAGTCAAACTCACAGCGAATCGAAGAAGCAGGCAAGATTTTCCAACAGAGGAGTCGCCGATCAACAAAAGCTTGAACAGATAATCGCTAAAACCAAAAAAAAAAGAAGAAGAATGATGAATAATACGATTTCGCTGTGAGTAGTGGCGACGGAGTAAAAATCGGAGCAAATACAATGCGCGAGGAGAAAACACTTACTACTCGTTGCTCATGATTACTCAAAGATGTAGTTCGTTTTCGATTGATTCGACGATTTGGGATAATTTTCCCAGGAAAACGCTTTTTCTCTTTTCTCTAGGGGAAAGAAGAAGAAAAAAAAACCTTCGGTTAATTAATTGTCATGAACATTGAACCCCACGACTTCAAATGGATTTTCCTATTCTTTTTTTTTTTTTAATTTCGTCTTATCATTTTTTCACAATTTTTAAAGATTACTTTAATTCCTTTCCTTGTGGCCTAGTCACGAGACAATAAAGAAACTTTGACCTTGTCTCACTAATTTCTTTACGTGAATTACAAGAGACTTGCCTTCTTTTAGATAATGGGCCGGGCTCAAATTATAGAATGAGAAGAGACTTGCCTTCTTTTAAATAATGGGCCGGGCTCAAATTACAGAATGAGACGAAGCTATTTTGGATAGTGTGGATCCAGGTCTATGCCTCGATCCGGATCCGAGTTAGCTTCTAGAGGTTTTGAATAAGTGGGATATAATTCCAGCTACTGTTAGAAAGATTAATATGTCTTTATAAGATACCATAGAATAATGTGGTGTTTTAAGGTTGATTTCCAAAAAAATTAGATGATTAACAATGTTCTATGTTTTTATGCTATAGCTTAATGTTCTATGTTGAATTTGCAAATTTGGGCGAAATGATTCTTGTTGATTATGGTATATGCTGCCCATGCTGGTTTGGAACGGGATTGAAGGTGTTGTTCAACATCTAAAAAACCAAATGTGGTGTACATCACATATAAGATTATGGTAGGACAAATAGTTGTCTTCTCAAAGATTTTACTATTATATGCTCAAGAAAGTTATAAGACCACAAAGGCTGTTCGAAGAAACAAAGAGAATGAGAGTAGTTCTGAATCGGGGTTGAGAACTGATCCACATTACATATGTACAGATATGTTGTGAGAAAAAAGTGGACTAAGAAGAAATACTTTAGTAATTAAGAGAGTGAAGATAGACACAACGCTTAGATGTTTAGATTGTATATATGACACATACAGTAGTAATATAGATGAGACTAAAATATGATTAAAAAAGGGGGAAAATCATTACATTACCACACCATTTGTATATTTGTATAGTTATAATCTATGTTAATTAAGTGGGTTTTAAACTTTTAATCCACGCATATATACGTCTTATTTTTGTCTACTTTTTCCCAAGAATAACAAATCCCTCCGTAATTTCATCTCATTTATTGTTTTTTTTTTGGTTTAAGGTTAAGAATCTCATTTATTGTTTATCCAAGATATCTAAATTTCCTTTTAATAAACGCGTTTGCAACCTGTCAAACATAATTAGCAAAATCAAATATAGACAATAGAAGAACCAAAAAAAAAAATCAAAACTGAAAAATATATAATTTTTTTTAAATCACACGTTAATTACGCGGAGTATCCTAGGTCTAAGAAGAAAAAAAACTACATAATAATGAAGAAACGAACACAAACTCATAAAAGCTGTATAGAAGAAGAATCAGAAACAAAAGAAAAAGAAAAGAGAGAGAGACAAAAACAAAAACAAAAAAATGGCGATCGTGAGCCCTAATTTTTGCGCACCGTACCCGATAGAGTTGGGAATCGTACGAAAGGTGATGACGATAACAGATGGTAACTTCGCTGTCACAGACGTCAACGGGAATCTTCTTTTCAAAGTCAAAGAACCTCTGATTAGCCTCAGCGACAAAAGGGTCTTATTGGACGCATCAGATACTCCACTTTTGACCTTGAAAGAAAACGTAAGAACACAAACATACTTGTGTGGATGTATATTTTTAAAAATTAGCCTTTGTCATCCCATAATTTAGCTATTTTTTCTTATGATATAAAACAAATTGTAGAGGGTGAGCTTGCACGATAGGTGGCAAGTATTTAGAGGAAAGAGTACAGAGCAAAGTGATCTGGTATACACATTGAAACGATCGTCCATGTTTCAATTGATAAAGCCAAAACTAGACGTGTTTTTGGGGATTAATAAGGAAATGAAGATATGCGGCTTCCATGTCAAAGGAAGCTGGATCGACCGGTCATGTGTCATCTACGCCGGAAATTCTGATGTCATTGTTGCTCAGGTAATCAACTTTTTTTCAATAACCGGTCCAATTGTCTGTAAACCGGACTCGCTACTATGATCGTGTGTTTATTGATTTTGTTGTTGTTGTTGTTTTATGGGATTTCAGATGCACAAGAAACATACCGCACAGAGCATATTAATAGGGAAGAGCAATTTCTCGGTTACTGTTCAGCCGAATGTTGATTTTGCTTTTATTGTCTCTCTCATTGTAATTCTCGATGATATTAACAAAGAAGATTCAGAATAGTAAACAATATTGTAATGAATAATTCTTAATTTTTAGTGAATAAAAACAATATACTTTGTCAAAGTATTGACATGTTTTTAAGGTTTTATTGGATATATATGAATATGCAAATTCCATGGATACAAACTCTTTGTCTCGACAACGGATTATTATAACACAAAAGTTTTCAGGGTTATTAATTCATTTCATTGACTCAATGCTTTTGCTGTCGGAAAATCTCGACCCCTAAGTAATCGATAGTGTTCTTAATAAGTGCAACATTTGGCTTCGACAGCTTCACTCGAACAGCGGTTATCCTAGGAAACGTTTCAAGCGTTCTGGACGCGATGAGTTCCGCGACTGCCTCGAGAAGGTTTCTTGGTGACCCTTCAACAATTTCTTTAGCTAGGCTGCGAATACAACATCATTGTTTTGTCACCAATAAAAATCAAACTACATATGATTAATTCGTCCATCCCAAGGTCATTGATATTTGGTAGGAGCTAACCTGAAAATGTCAACATAGCTGATTGTATCTGCTAAGTTGTCTGATTCACCAGCCTTTTTAAGACTCACCCACGCATCAATGTCAACAAGAAACATCTGCCCCAAAGTCTTCTCTTCTGAAATCGCTCCATGGTATCCGTAAAACTTTAACCCTTTTAGTATCAGTTTGTCCCCTCCACTCATTGACATGTCTCTCTCCGATGCTTCTGTTCCAATAACTGTATAGTAAAAACTGCATATAAGTCTTAAGAACAAAAAAAACAAAAACTATACTATATGTTTTAAAGTATGTCACCATGAAAATTTACTGTAATAACTCAAAAGATTCGCTAGGCACAAGATTAGAGCAATTAAAAAAACTATTCTTAAACTTTTGATGTCATCAACTTTTTTACATAATAACCCGTTTCTGTCCGTTTCTCAGCCAACCAAAATAATTACCGGTGCTGTCTGAACAGTAAATCATGTTAAGAGGAACTTATTCGAAAAAGATAAGAAGAAATATCACATCCTATACATCTCTCCATCATCATCACTCAATTGATTCGTAACTGTCAGAAATTTTTTTACAACCGACATGCGATTTCAATAGGAAATTTGGACATACCTCGCGGTTCCAATGTCGCCGGACCGTCGTTTCAAGGGAGCAATACATCTCTCCGTTCGTGGCTATAGATTTGAAGATGAGATGAGAGATATAGATAGATAGGAGGAAACTAGTTTGAATATGAAGGAAAATGAAGCAGATGTGGTGGTGGCCCAAATGTCAGATATTTTATAGGCCCAAACTCCGAGAAACATTTGTGCTTTTCACCAAATCTAGCAATCATACGCGGATTTTTTAATGTTTCTTCTTCCTATTGGCCCATCTAATCTTTGTGCATTAACTATTTCCATAATTATTGAGTTTATAATAGAGTTATTTGCCTAGAATAACCTTTTAAAATCGATATTGACTAGAATAACATCCTCATATAACTCACTAACTAAAATAACTTTACAAAGCTGTGCAAAGACATCAAAATTCAAATTTTAGATATAATAACAAAAATGCCATTTTGATAAAAAAAAATAATCAAAAATAATAAAATTGATAAAAGAAAGATTTTTGAAAAAAAAAGAAAAACAACAAAACCTAAAAAAAAAAAGAATCACCTCGCGAAGGAAAGAGAAGAGCACCGACGGTGCCCGATTTGAAAAAACTCAAAATCTCCGATTACGGCGGTGAAGAGCACCGACGGTGGAGCAAAGGTAGAGCTCCCGAGCTTCCCGGACCTGCGACGGCGGCGTCTACATCTTCTTTTACGGCGGCGTCTACATCTTTTCTTACGGCGGCGTCTACTTACGACAGACGGCGTCCATTTGAGGGCTGCTTTGTTTCACGGCTGCTTTGTTTCACGGCGAGTGAATAGTAAGATCCTTCACCATTGATTTGTCTCCATTTGTAGATCTATGGTTTTTATTGATGGTAACCTTGGTTTCAGATTTGTAGATCTAGATTAATGTCGAAGTTTTTAACCGGAATTTTGTTTTTATTTAGCAGAATTCCGGCGAGGACAAGTAGTAGAAGGCGACGGAATCGGGTGTCGTTAGAGAAAGTGCTTGGTAAAGGTAGTCGGATTAATTTATTTGATGGTAGGCTTTTAATCGGTAGACTTATTAGCTAGATTAATGTCGAAGTTTTTAACCGGAAATTTGTTTTTATATAGCAGAATTCCGGCGAGGACAAGGAGTAGAAGGCGACAGAATCGGGTGTCGTTAGAGAAAGTGCTTGGTAAAGGTAGTCGGATTAATTTATTTGATGGTAGACTTTTAATCGGTAGACTTATTAGCTAGATTAATGTCGAAGTTTTTAACCGGAAATTTGTTTTTATTTAGCAGAATTCCGGCGAGGACAAGGAGTAGAAGGCGACGGAATCGGGTGTCGTTAGAGAAAGTGCTTGGTAAAGGTAGTCGGATTAATTTATTTGATGGTAGACTTTTAATCGGTAGACTTATTAGCTAGATTAATGTCGAAGTTTTTAACCCGAAATTTGTTTTTATTTAGCAGAATTCCGACGAGGACAAGGAATAGAAGGCGACGGAATCGGGTGTCGTTAGAGAAAGTGCTTGGTAAAGGTAATCAGATTAATTTATTTGATGGTAGACTTTTAATCGGTAGACTTATTAGCTTATTATTGGTCGAATTTGTTGTTTTGGTAGACTTATTGTCAAGTTTCTCAACAGACAATTTTTTTTCCTTGCAGTTAACAGAGATCCGGTGAGGACAACAACGACGAGTAGGCGACAGAATCCGGTGACTATTGAGAAAGTGAATCATGAAAAGGTAACTAGATTTTTATTTTTTCCGTTTTCAGTTATTGTAAACATGCTGGTTTGGTGGTAGACTTGTTTTGTGATAGTAAACGTGTTGGTAGACTTGATGGTTGTTTTGTGGTAGACTTTTCCTAGTGGTGGTAGACTTGTTTGTTTGCTCGGTGACATATATGTGGTGGTAGACTTGTTTATGCCGTTTTCAGTTATTGTAAACATGATGGTAAACTTGTTTTGCGATGGTAAACATGATGGTAAACTTGTTTTGTGCCGTTTGCAGTTATTGTAAACTTGTTTTGCGATGGTAAACATGATGGTAGACTTGTTTTGTGCCTGCCATTTTGAGTTATTGTAAACATGTTGTTTTAGTGGTAAACTTGTTTTGCGATGGTAAACATGATAATAGACTTGTTGTGTGATGGTAAACTTGTTGGTAGACTTGATGGTTGTTTGGTGGTAGACTTAATTTGGCTGTGGTGAACTTGATTGTGATATATGTGTTCACTTTTGCAGCTACTTGATGGCATCTTCAAGCGCGACGAAGCTGAAATACCCACCCCGATTGTTTCCCCCGGGGAAATCTCCTGTACAGAAGAAAAGTTTGAACAACTATTGTCATTTGACGGATTTTGGGATGTTGAAGGAGGCTGTTGGTGAGGAGGTCTACAATGACATAAGGAACAGTTCCCAAGTAGAAGTGGTATTGAGTCTTGCAGAGAAGAAGTACGTATGGGCAGCAAAAACGGTCCATAACATAGTAACAAACCAACTGGCTATTGATCGAAGTTACGAGATTTGGGCACTTATCAGTGGGCGTCCAGTGCGGTTTTCGCTTCATGAGTTTGAAGTGATAACCGGGCTTAACTGTCAGCCCGTTGGGGATGAGCCGTGGGACATAGATCACCACGAGTTCTGGGAAGAGCTTGGCGTGAATGCAGGTGTAGGGCCAAATTGGCATGAGTTGGTTGAGGTATTTGAAAGATGCAAAACTTGGTCGTATCAGAAGAAGAAGATTATTGCGCTTCTGTTCATACTGCACATTGGGATAATCGGTATTAATCGGAATAGTCGTCTTCCTTTGAACTGTGCGAAGAGAGTTATGGATGACGAAGCTTTTGAGAGTTATCCATGGGGGCGTGTCGGTTTTAAGGAGATGATTACGTCCATCAAAGTGGCATCTTTAGGAGGAAACAGCTACACCTTTCATGGATGTGTGCATGCGCTGCTTATATGGGTGTATGAGTCGGTTCCGATTTTGGGAGAAAAATTTGGCAAACTTGAGAACAATCCGCTCACTTTACCGTATCCCCTACTTCGTTGGCGTTCGTCTAGGAAGAGATATATTCTTGAGAAAGTTTTGGAGGAAGAAAAAAACAGATTTGATGACAAAAAGGTATGTTTTCCATACAAATGTAGTATTTTGGTAGTTATAACATTAGTTATCGTCAAAATATGATATGAACTGTACTTATGATGGTAGATATGATTTATCATATATTAGATTTTCATTTCAGATCACTTATGTGGCTAACTTGTTAGTATCACTTGTGGTAGACATTTTAGTATTAGACGTATATAAATATATATACGTGGTGGTAAACATTTTAGTATTAGACATATATAAATATATACGTGGTGGTAGACTTGTTAGTATTAGACATATATACGTGGTGGTAGCCTTGTTACTTGTGGTAGACTTGTTTTATGTATTCGTGCAAATTTGTTTAGCATTATGATTTTGACTTATCTATCTTTGTCTGCAGGTTAGGATGAGGCATCTAGTCGAGGTTCCTCGAGAGGATATATATCCGTTTTGGCCAGATGAGGAGTCAACGCCAGACGTGGATCCAAAGCTTCACAATGTGCTAATTGATATTCTTGATGGATGTTTAGATGAGACAGTTTGGGAGGAGACAGTTGACAGCAATTCAAAAGAGAAGGAGAAGGGGAAGGATAAGAAAAAGGGGAAGGAGAAGGAGAAGAGGGAGAAGAAGGGGAGTAAGAAGAAGGAGGAGAAGAGTAGTGTTGAGAGAAGTGATAATGATTTTGTAGAAGTGCCTAAAAGGAAGAAGAAGCGACATGAAGAAAGTGCGTCGTGTGAGAAGAAGAAAGAAAAGAAGAAAGTGATGGTGACGGAGGCAGAAAGTAGTGAGGATGAAGAGTTGGACATGCCGGTAGGTCAGTTTGTTGATAAGGTAAAG